CAGTGAAACAGCTTAGAACATAGGTAGTAAATCCATGTTGTGCGTGGAAACAAACGTCACCGCTTACGACCGATCACCTGAAACACGTTATACAGAACCGTTATAGTATAAACTACGATCATATCAAATAAATTTCCTACCACACATTCTATAGTTTGAAATAATCAAAATTTGAATGGTATACGTTGACTTCTTCACAAATATCGCATTAGACATGTACATATACATAGTCATCAATAGTCATCTCGGGTGCAAGTCGATTTCCGAACGGACAATCCACCTACAGCGAAAAGTGCATCCCACCTGCGGTGGAAAGAGTGCGTGGGCGGTGGTGCATCTTGAGTACCCCCAGACCCCTCGTGTTAGCTACCCGTGTATCTCGATTCCGGGCGTTGTGGAAGCCCCCTCCGGCGCCTTCGAGGTGCTCGAGTGAAAATCGTTTCACAGGAATTTAAAAAAAAAATTAAAACGTACCGAAAACTGTGAATTGGAGTGTAGAGTAGTCTTTGGTGCTCGTCTGGTGTAATACCGTGCCCCGCTGTATGCCCGGTTCTGTTTTGTGGACTGTTTAAGAAATTAGAAATTTCAAATAATTGTTATCGAGTGTCTAGCCATCAATCATCGCTCTATGCAAATCTATGAGTTATTGGGCATGTGTGTATGGCGCATTGGATGCATGACCCGTCGCATGCTAGATGTTAGTGAAAAAACGGGAAATGCAAAAACAAACCCCCCGGGTCTGCTGAAAGTGGCTACCGATTGTGGAAACTGAGTAGTTGAAACTACAAAAGTCGCGATTGTAGGTTGGCGAGAAAATGTCAGAGGAGGTGATAAGGATTTGTGATGATGCGCTTTCGAGGTGTCGTTTCAAAGGCGGGAACGTTTGAATGTCGAGTTGGAGGCTCTAGAAATTACCGGTTAAACTGGTTCGATACATGCGGACCATCCAGTCTTGTTTTGAAAACGTGAAATCATAAGCTTGAGTCGGAGCACCGAATTCGTGTGTCTAGCAAGTCGGTCACGTCAAGGTGAAAATCGATTAAAATAAAATTCAGACATCTAAGTAAGCCATCCGACTGCGTCGCATAGCCGACGATATGGGCCTGCCTGCATTGGTCTCTCGGTGTAACTCGCTCCGTCAGTAATAGGACTTGATAGTTTAGACGGTCCAGTCTTGTGCTTTTATGAAAGTCAAAAATCATAAATCTTAAAGATTTATTTCAATGTCCAGCAAGTCAGTCATGTCCATTTGAAATCGATTCACGTTTAACTTAGTCATCTATGTCGGATAACGGACAATGTGGGACGCGGCATGTCAGGACACAGTGGTGGGCAGCTATAAGTGAGAATTGTCTTTGCAAAAGCCTATTAAAGTACATAATACATTAGCCCGGTGGGATCAAACTCGCTTCCTGCGCTGGTTCTTACAATTTAAATTCAAAACAACCCAGGATCAACATTGTAAATCCTTCTAGGCTGTCAAATTGACAAAGAGACAACGCAAAAGTAGTCCCCCGCACGTCACCACTCCACCAACCCACCCGAATCAATTGATAATAATATTAATGGTCACACTGTAGCATTGTGTGTATCGTTGATATTGAATAGACGTTCGTAATTATTAACTTTCTGACGCGCATAAATAATCGTACATCTCGAGCATATTATTGTATATTATTATTATATGTACATGATTATGTAGGTATGTACAGTACATACTGACACAATCGAACGTCGTTTATAATAGATCAAACCACAGAACTGCGTTTACATTATTTGACTCACCTAAAAACCGTAATATACCAAGTACCTACTATATTGTATATTATATATCGATCCCATCAAACAATCAAACCTACCTATAATATAAGTAATAGTTATAGTCATATAATTGTACAATTTAACCTGCCAGAATTCAATCGGTTCTATTAGATCTACTGTTTACACACTGTTCGCCACGCCGCTCCTACTTTTTCTATCGCGGTTAGCGACACGACTTGCGTAGTGTTAGGGACGGAAGGGGAGCAAACCCGCACTGTAATATCTCGTACAATATGTCTCGGTAGATAAATGCAATGTATATTTTCACAATGATGAACACAATAATACAAAAATTCAATAATTCGAACACAAATAATATTGATTTATGACCTGATTGACACCTCGGCGTTGGTCACTGCTCAGCCTGGTCCTCGCTGGAAGTGCGACAGCGTCTTCCTCGTAAAAGTCGTCACCGTGGCGCAGTTCAATGACGGCCCAACGTTGACACGTATAATAATACTTAATAGTAACTCGGTGGTGGGCGGTGACACAATCCGTCAAACTTTGACTATCTCAAAGTTTACGACAGTAGGTATGAAAGCAAACGCAAACAATACTAATAAATAAATAGGTCGAATGACCACGAGGTCGACCTATCCCAACAACATGAGTACACGACACGAACCGGCGACACGTGATCCGCCTGGTTCGAGAGTTAGCACAAGAGAGAGCACAGTGTCCCGGCAAAAGAGCCGTGGACGCCGGCCGGCGTGTGGACACCGTGGAGGGGGGACGACTCGTCGCGAACATTCCGCGCCGATCACGCGATTTGGAAAGCCTTTGGACTTAACAGATTCGGCGGGAATTCAGCCGCGTTCGAACATTCTCCCCCCTGTGAGCTTTGGCACACAAGACATTGGGAGAACCGGATAGTCAAAATTCCAGCGACGGAGGAGGAGGTCCGATGCTCATTTCCAGATGATGTTCACGTTGCCGATCAGGCCAATAATAATAGGGAAATATTACATTTACCCGTTAATTTTAACAGATACCTTTGCGTACAAAATAAAAAATAAAAAAGTATACATAATATATAAAAATCGAGGAACATATGGTTCAATTATAATAATCAATAATTAGTTGTATAAATACAATACATAATAATAGTATAAAATGATACAAAGAATAGTATAATAAACACACAATAATAAAATAATACAGTGGGATGGCTCCCCCCGTCCCAACGCCCGGTCTGTCGAGGGGCACACATAATTTAAAGCAATAAGCGCATACTAGGGAAGGAAAGTGTGGAACATGGTAGTTCATAGCGATGTGCTGAAGACACCAGGCCGAGTAGTAGTGTTCATTCGGTAGGTAACAATACCAATTTAACCACGGGTCGAACAATTTCTCCAGCTTGAGTCAACACACGGGCAACACGAACCCGACCGTCGGTCCCCGGTAACAATTGTATTACGCGGCCAAGTCGCCAAGATAACGGGGGACTTTGGTTATCTATGATTATGACCATGTCGTTGACACTGAGGTTCGGGGTATCAGTGGTCCACTTGGACCTTTCCTGAAGGGTGGTCAAGTATTCTGTCGACCAGCGGCGCCAAAAAGCCTGATGGCATTGGTCTAACAATTTCCAGCGGTTGGACATATCACGCACGGACGCCGGATCTGACCTGGGTGGGACCGCTAACAAAGGTTGCCCGATTAAAAAATGTCCTGGCGTCAGGCAGTCAAGGTCATGCGGGTCAGTAGAGGCGGGTGTAAGGGGTCTCGAATTAAGTACAGCCTCGACGCGCACCAAAATCGTCGAAAATTCCTCATACGTAAAAATATGATTGCCGATAACCCGTACCAATAGCCGCTTGGTGGAACGGACTGCCGCCTCCCATAAACCACCGAAGTGAGGCGCACTAGGCGGATTAAAATGCCAATCACAATATGTGGCACGTGCATTGCCGATAGCTGCTTGGCCCTCCGCACTGTGAATGAGCGACCGCAATTGCCTGTCAGCCCCTACAAAATTAGTGCCGCAATCCGAAAATACATCGCTAGGTAAGCCTCGGCGGGCGACAAAGCGATCGAATGCGGCGAGGAACGCGTCTGTGGATAGGTCCGAAACAACTTCAAGATGAACCGCTTTGGTGGAAAAACACACAAATACGGCTATATAAATTTTAAACACGCGGGATTTTCGTAGCTGTAACTCACGCATCTGTAACGGCCCCGCGTAATCTACGCCTACGCTTTCGAAAGGGCGCCGCGGACGCACTCGTGAACGGGGCAAATCTGCCATTAACGGCTGCAATGGTCGCGCGTCTAATCTGACGCAAATAGTACAATTTGTCAGTATCTTGTGTAAAAGGGACCGGAGCGATACAACCCAAAATTGACGCGATATTAACGCTGTTAAAGCTCGCGGGCCGGCATGACACGTCAACAAGTGCCACCGCCGGCATAATAACAAGGCGAAATGCGAGCTTTTTGATAACAACACTGGATGCTTGCAATCGTACGCGATTAACGAATGACGCAACCGACCGCCGACGCGGATCACACCGTCGGGGTCAATGAACGGAGACAGCCGCGCTAACGGTCTGGATGATACCCGCGTACCGCGTGACAGCTCACCGAGTAATGAGGGAAAATGCACACGCTGTGATTCGACGATCAACAATTGCGCCGCACTATCCAGATCACATTTACGTAAATAAATGGGACCGTCCATACGACCAATCTTTCGTCGACAGAGCGCGATGAAACGGCGCATATACGCGACTTCGCGCAACATACGGTCATAATTTGAAAATCGTGTAAACCATTCATTAGGCACGTCGGCAACGAGGGCAGCGCACGATGCAAATCGCAATTCAGGTAACTCACACAGAGGTAGCGACGGACGAGAATCGTCCCATGCCGATGGGTCGTCGTACGCTATCTGTGGGCCATGCCAGTACAAATTAAGTTGCGATAACACCGCTGGCATCACACCACGGGACGCACAGTCGGCGGGGTTATTGACCGATTCAATGTGTTGCCACCGGCAATCCGGTAACAGCGTACGGATTTTATGCACTCTATTCGAAACATAAACTTTAACCGACTCATGGGGAACCTTTAACCAAGATAGCACGATCATCGAATCCGACCAGGCTCGAATATCAACGATATTAAGTTGCGCCGCTAAAATGCCACGGATGCGGTTTAGCCACCGGGCCAACAGCAGTGCGGCATTTAATTCGAGACGGGGGATAGTCATAGATTTTGTTGATGCCAATTTAGTCTTAGTACCAACCAAAAAAACAGAATCCCCTACGGGCACCTCAACCATCCGCAAGTACACAACAGCTGCATAGCCACGTTGCGACGCGTCGCAAAATCCTAATAAATAACACGGGGCATTCCGGCGCGAGTTAAAATGTCGAGGGACGCGAATAGACATTAACGATGGTAAATCAGCGACGAAAGCTGCCAATTCATCATGAATGTCCGGAGAAAGAGGTTCATCCCACGTCAAACCACGAAGCCAGGTCCGTTGCATGATGAACTTGGCTAAAAACACCGCGGGACCGAACACCCCAAGCGGGTCGAATATTCGAGCTACTAAAGATAAAATACCACGTTTAGTATATACAGGTGATTGTTCAAGATTTAACGCACAACGCAAGTAATCCCCGTCGGGATGCCATTCTAAACCCAATACCTTGGTACCCTGACCGTCGACCGTTTCGAACGGCGTAGGTGCGTGCACACGGTTCGCGGCCGGCACTGCGTCTAAAACCGACGTAGTGTTCGACGACCATTTTTTAAGTTCTAAACCAGACCTATTCAACACACAAATCAAATCGGATTGTAGTTTTAATACCTCAGCAATAGTATCAGCCCCGTCACATATGTCGTCGACGTAAGTTTGGCGCGTCAATGCGTTACGCACCCACTCGGACTCAGTGCAATCGTCGGAAGTAATCGACTGTAACACGCGCAACGCGAGGTACGGCGCACAATTAACGCCGTACGTGACCGTATTCAATTCGTATTCTAGCAGTTTGTCATGTGGCGTCGCTCGCCACAAAATATGTTGAAATTTACGATATTTCGGCAAAATCAATACTTGCCGATACATTTTACAGATGTCGGTCGTAAAAACGTATTTATGTACGCGGAACCGCGTTAGGATGTCTACGATGTCCTGTTGGAGCTTAGGCCCCGGAAACAAACAGTCATTTAATGACGGCCCGCGGCCACATTTCGCAGACGCGTCGAAAACTACGCGAATTTTATTAATGTCGACCTCCGGGCGATATACAGCGTGGTGCGGAATGAAGTAGCACCCCGGGGATGTGGCAACCGACTTATGTTCTAACGATATATATTCGGACATAAATTGAGTATACAATGATTTTAATAATGGATCCGCGGATAATTTGCGTTCGAGCGACTCGAAACGCCGTACCGCAACATCGCGGGACGCCCGCGCCCCAAACAATTCGTCCGAAGACGGCACACGGAACGGCAACGGGACGGAAAATCGACCAGTCGATAAACGTATTGTTTCGTCGACAAAAATTTGTTCGCACCGCCCATTATCAGTAAACGTTTCAGGCGCTACCTCTGGCTCCTCAACGTGCCAAAATCTTTCCATGAGTCCCTCAATGGAAACAGTTAACGAAACTGGCAAGGATTGTCGCGGGCCGGTCTCATCACCGGACACCGGACCAATTAAAATCCAGCCGAAAACAGAACTAAACGCCGACGGTAACGCGTCGTCAACCGAAATCTTACGGCCGTCCATAATAGACGAAAACACGTCACTGCCTAATAACAAGTCAATAGGGGACGACACATAGAACGACGGGTCCGCTAACGCTAAATTGGAGTACCTGTCCTTAATGTCAGCGGCTAACGTTTTGGTAGGTAATTCGTTCGTTATCGTAGGCAGCACCCATGCGTGTACGGCTAACGCGGGCTCGGACGCGAATCGCGGATGTACAGTACACTCAACACGGCCTTGTACATTGTTTACTGCAACTCCCGACAAACCACTTATCGGAGCTGTCCAGCGCGACCGTTTGAGACCTAATCTATCGGCACAGGCAGCCGTGATAGCACTAATTTGCGATGCACAATCGACCAGCGCCCGCATGGTCTGCCACGAGCCGGACCGATCGCGAACATGAACAATGGCGGTGCCTAACATCACAGCTGGCGATTGTTGCGGCGACGGCCGTTGTACAGATGCACAACATGACGCGGGTGCGGATACGGGTGACGGGGTTTCCGGTTTATCGTGCCGTTCTCCGGCGGGTACATGAAGTAGATAATGATGTCTACGCGAACACTCACTACTATTAATTTTTGACCTACATCTAGGCGCCCAATGATCGGCACTAAAACATACATAGCACAATTTATGTTCACGAGTCCAACGCGACCGCTCGTCAACAGGCCATGATTTAAACTTTGTGCACGCCGCTAGATTGTGAGACTCCGAACAACAGGGACAAACACTACCTGACTTAGCCGTGACCAGGGACGTTGGACGATAGCCCTGTGGCTTCCCGGACCGTTCTCCCCCCGTGCGAGACTGGCCAGTCGGTTTCCCAAATTTGGACGACGCGGCTGCAGAGGGGGTGCTTTTGTGCGAATCACCTGCAACTTCCAATACGGCCACCCGGGACCGGAGAAAATCTATTAACTGATTTGCAGTCGGGTAATCAGTCGAGCTACTAGCCTCGAACAAACGTCGGGTTACAATAGGCAGGCACCTAAAAGCTATTGAGAATAACATAAACGACCCTAAATCGTGTATTTTAAGCGCGTCTAATAACGCAATATTTCGATTAAAAGTACATATAAACTGGTTTAAATCCTGATAAGACTCTTGCGACATATTCGTCGCATTTAACAAATTGTCGACAAGTGACGTGGCGACTAGACGCGGACGATTGAAACGGTCTGTCAACGTAGACCACACCAGACGGTAATTATCGCCCGACAACGGTATACCCCGGACCGCTTCCGCCGCATCACCTTTTAAACTGCCTACGAGATAATACATTTTATCAATATCGGATAGATTGGGCCATTTGTTTAATAGTGTCGTAAAACTATCTCGAAACGTGATCCAGTCCCGGAGATCGCCATCGTACGTAGGTAACGGGATCTCGGGTAAGCGCGAGTACGATTTCCCTGGGTTATCAGCCGGTGTCTGGGTAACCTATAATTTATTATGAATATATGACATGTCAATCAAATCTGCGCCTTTCGGGATTACCTGATCTGTCATTGCCTTTGACGCCGTAATAAGCCCCCGAACCTCCGCGGGTAGGCCCACATCATAATCTGTCACTTCGTTTAATTTAACTAAACTGTTCAAGACCGATTCGTCCTCGAGCTTAAACTGGTTCCATAAACTATCTAAATCAGTTACGGCAACTAAAAATTGGGGAACTAAGTCGGGTTCGTTTTTGACGCATAACGCCATAGCATGGATTGCCCTAATGTTCGACACCACAGTAGTGCGTTTAATCAACGCGAGTGATTTAGCCCGAGTTTCACGCTCAGTTTCTTGCTCGCCGCCGGCCATTGTGACGGCTAATTTAATAAATGTTTATGTTACGTTTGCAGTTAATGCAATAATAAATGTCTAACACCTATAATAGGAGTTGTACGAATCTACCTAAGAACACCTTACCAGATCAGCACAAAATGCCACAACACAACGCTACCCAAACTACCACACTAAGGTCGGGAAAACCACGC